GTGCAAGCCCCCGCGTGAGCAGTTTGGTCTGAGAGCCGGTGGTGGGCAGAGCAGCTTGGCGTTCTGCTGGCCCGTGCAGAGCGAGGTAGAATGTTCTGCCGAATGGTTCCTGCGAGCACCGTGTTCCTTTGAATTCGTCATCATTTCGGTTTGAGCTTGAATTGGTTTTGTCACTAAAATTCCAAGTGCCCGTTTTAACGTCCTTAGAGGTAATGTTTGCAGGTCGTCTCCTGTCTCGTTCCTTCCCTGTCATCCAAATAACACTACAAGAAAATGATCGGCTGCCTTTCAAAGAGGATGGAAGAAAGGTTTTGGTTAAGGCACTGTGTTGGGTTTGCGGCACTTGTACTCTTGTACCTGTCTTCCATGAGATGGAAACAGAAGGAACTTTTGACGAAGGAGTCAAATCCATCCCCTGCGGAGCAGAAGGCCCCGGGCAGCCTGTAAGGCCTTCTCACATATGGAAAGGGGATCTAGCGAGTGGGAAAGAGCTGGATGTTTGTTTTGCAGGGGAGTAAAACAAGTCTGTAGAGATGTATGGGCCTGGCAGGTGACTAGGGCTTCTTCATACCTAGAAGAGGATTTGGTTTTAAGATGGCTTCCTTTGTCCCTTTTCTGTCAACAATGGGGGGCAGAGCTGTGCAAGCTAATGACTCCGCCAGGGCATGACTCGTGTTTAATTTTTCCTGTCATCTAAACCAATAGAGTAAGAGACAGGGACTCCTCCCCTGTAATTAATTCCATGAGGTTTGATTCTCCCACCTGGACAGAGCCTTTTGCTAGATCCAGCTCTTAGTGGCCCTCCAGAGAAAACTGTCCTGAAAGGGAGTTTGAGTTTATTTCTTCTTATTTCCCGTTTCCTGCAGTCCCTGTTTAGAAGGACCGGTAGCTCTACTGGCAAAGGGGATTGTATAGATTTATGCTTAGGGGTTCTTCCTGTTGTGAGAGTTCTCATTTTTAGAGAAAAAGGCCAGACATCATGGAATGTGAAAACTTCCACGTGGGTTGGGAGCGGGTTAATAACTGGTACCTCGTCCTTCTCCTGTGACAGCCCTTTAAGGAAAAGCCAGAAAGGGAGATCTCAGGAGGCCTCTGCTTGCTTAAGGGAGAGGGATTTCGTCTTTACTGAGGAGAAAGGAAACTTCTCTGTAAGTGGGAAGGCCTGGCAGGAGCTGCGGTGGGCTGGAGGGATTTGCAGTATTGGTTGGACAAGACTCTCGTCTGAGCCTAGAGGTGGAATATTTCCTTTTTTTATTAGATGGAACAATTTATGATACAGTGTTTGAAGATGAAATGCCACAATTCCTGTAAAATACGCTGTATATATTTTTACTCTATGAGACAATCCAGACTTGGTTTCTTCCCCCAGTTCCTTGCGCTTCCCTAGCAGAACTAACAGAGAGGTGGATGTGTCCCAGCTGGGACGTCGCTGTGGGCACGTTATGTTGGATGCAGAAGAGAAAGCCAGAGTTTGGAAGTGCCACGCGTGCTAAGGAAGAGGATGTTTTTGGAGACTTCTAACATGTTTTGAGTACGGTCTTTTTTCAGGGCTTCTTTACGTGCCGTGTGTTCCTAGGAGGTATATGATACATGGAATATTCTTCTACCTTCTGCTAGCTGAAGGGAGACACGGTCGCTTTCCCTTCCTTAGCACCGCCTGTCTCGAGAGTACTTTGGCAGGGGCGATGGGTATCAGCTATTCTCTTTACTGACCACAGTACCTAAAAGCTGCCACTAAGCTTTCCAAATCTGTATCAGAATTAAAATAGCTTCTCTGTGCATAAATTTGCAGGTAGCTGCTCTAATCTTGTCTAAATCTATTCCCTTTTCCTCCTCTGCTGCCCAGGAGGCCCGTACGCAGTGCAGCAAGGGACTGGGTGTTTAACAGCTATGTGTAAGTTCATGTCAGTTTGCGTTCCAGCGCACAAAGTCAGTAAATGCTTACGTGTCTGAGGAGCTTTAATAGCAAGTGCTTGAAGGATGAGAGCTGGGATATAGAATTCTGAAACTAAGATTTATGAATTATTACCTATATACAGGTTGTGTTCTCCAGACACTAATCATCTAGATGTCCCTCTTGGCAAATGGTGTTTTAAGTCTTGCCAGATGCTGACTGTTGATTTTGTTAGGTTCTGTGCATATTAATCCCGTGCTTGTCAACCGGTAGCTTCATGGGTTTTAAGCCTTGGTCCTTCCAGCTGCTACAGCTGGAGCTTTATGGCCCCGTTGGTGGCCATATAGACACCAGGGCACGGTGCTGAAATAATAGTAACTGCTGCTGATTTACAGGAAGCAGGGGTCGGGCATCAAGATGAGTATCAAAATCAAAACCAGAACATGCAGAAAACCTCATGGAACCAGATTTTTTCTTTCCTCCCACCAATAAAGTTGGAAGTGACTTATTTTGCCATCAGAGTTCCCATTTATTTAGAAATCAAAGCTCTGTTCTGTTTGCCTGATGAGTTCATCTCACAGCACCTTACTCCTCTGGATCTTCTGTCGGTCAGCCTTGTGGTGGTGTATGGAGGGTCATTCACAGGGGAAGATTAATAAGCGCTAATGGGCTGAAATAAAATAGGTGCGCTGCAGGGTTTATCCCTTCTGCAGAATGTCTGTGTCTGAAATCAGGAGGAAGGCAAAATTACTGAGTGTTTAAGAAATATACTCCCAGTTGGAGTACAAAACCTTTTAGTTTGCCTACTGTGTTTCTAAAAGGGTTCCAGAGGAACCCTGAAGCTTTTGTAGTTTCTGCTGTCAAGAGTTTTATCCTACTGCTGTCCTCAAGTCTTCCACTCTGGGGTTCAAATACCTCATGATAGAAGATTATTTTTCTTTTGGAAGCTTTGTCTTCCTGGACTATCCAAAGCAGCTGGTATCTAGTAAATAAGTAAGCTTTTCCGTTAAAGCAGAGCACTGCTGCAGAAATCTGGCAGTACTTTCTCTTACCTGTACCTTCCCCAAACCGGACCGAAGGTGAAATGGTAGTTGTGCTGTCGGACGGTTTGTGGTGTACCTGTTAAATGCCTGTATAAGGCTGTTAAACATTTGTTTAAGTGAAAACGCTACCCTCGAAATACATGGTGGACAAGAAATAATTTGTGTATAGCCCTTTCTACTGTTCTGTTTTGACAGGATTATTTAAAAAAAAAAGTGCTGTTGAGAGACTGGCGTGTGTGGAATGGGGGATATGATGTGTCTGCAGTGGTGCAAGTTTTTTGGCTGTGGGTTTTTCTGTTTTCTTGAAACATCAAGTTCATCTGGATTGTATTTAGGAAGAGACCTGCTCTCGTAAGGACGGCTAGGCAGTGAAGGGTGCTGCGCAGAGCACACCCTGCTCTCCCCACTTCAGTAGGGACGCTCTGCCGGCAAGTGAAAAGGGAGCAGGACGCCATCAGCACATCACCCTGGGGTTTTTTCTGGGAGGAGCTGGAAGGGCAGTCTAGGTCTTCTGCAGCTCCTCATTTGGGAAGGAGGGGACAGGATTAGGGGCACCTCTGAATCTCTCCTTAATAGCAGGGACATGGGGGAGGTGGGGCCTTACCAGAGCCTTACAGGATCGAGTATTTAAGACAACCCATTTCTAAGTGTG